AGGTGCCCAACGGGGTCAAATTCACCCCTAAAGTCCCATCCGCGGTTTATAATACTGATTTTTTTTCTCGAAAACCGTTAGGGCTTACGGTGTTTTGAAAATTGATAAAAATACTTAGAACTGTGTTCTATTATGTGGTAGAATTTGGTTTAATTCGAAGGTGCCCATCAGGGCGAAAACATCCCTTTTTCGGGGGTGGGGGTTGAAACAAATTTTTTTTACCAAATGGGGGTGGTAAGCTGTTCTTGAGGGTAAGAGTGACCTCTGTGTGAAATTTGGTTACCCAAATCGTATCAGTTACGGAATTATTAATGTTTTAAGTTTATTGCTGGGATTTATGGATAACTTCACACCAGTACATTACAGAATTATGAGGGGTTGACTGCCAAATGGGAAAATAAAAGTTTATTACGATTTTTATAACAAATGTTCAAATTGTAAGGAGCATATCCCTAGTGATAGTGGTTTCTTCAAGTATGCGATTTTAATAAACTATAATAATAATAAACTGTTTATTGAGCCCGAAATAATGATAACAAAAACAAGATACAAAATTATTTGAGCAGAAACAAAAAAATATATACAGGGTCCTGCAAGAGTGCGTCTGGCATCCATAGCTCCTATACGAATTAAGTTAGGAATTTCTTTCAAACGCAGACTTGTAGTAGATATATGAGTGTATTTCTGGAAAATATTTTCGCTAAGTTTCCGGATAGCCGAGATACAAGAGGTGTCTGAAAATCGTAAATTTCAAACACTCCCCCTGTATATCAAAAACGAAGAGGGCTATGAAAATTTGGTTTGCGCCATTGTAAGTTTCACAAAAAAGTAGCTCAGGTCCGCAACTTTCTATGTTTCATAATAACTGAGATACCCTGCAAACCCATCGAAATTTGGACACCTGTACTCTGATTTTTTGAACAAAAATCTGCTGGAGCAGATTTTTCTAGAAAAATTCGAATAACGTGTGAACGGCCGAATCAAATTGCAAAAAGTAAAGTTATTCATAAACCTTGAAAACAGACAAATCCAAATATGTAAAAATATACAGGCTGCTCCATTAAAAAAAAAAACCATTTTGTGTCGTCACACTTTTTTGGACCATTCCGTATATGCCAAAATATTTTTCAGAAATTTTGATAAATCGAGTGAACGAGCGTAAATACGGTAGAACTTTATTCAAAAATTAATTTGAGAAACAATAATAATAGTAAGAAAAACACTGACATTTAAACGTCAAAAATATTTCTGACAAAGATTGCAAAGCCTTCTAAGATTTTTTCATTAAAAATTCATTTCAACTTTTGATAGATAACCCCGTTGTTTAACGGGCGGTGTTTGCTTTATTATTTTCTATCTCAAAAATTAGTCGTTTTTGAAAAAATTTTAGAGAGACAAAAAAGTTTTAGGATACTTTCATCTACCTATGTAAATTTTTTTTAATGTATTTACCATCTGCATAAAAAAATTTTTGCAAAAATGTAAAGGGGGTGGTTACGTTTAGTAGTTTAGAAGGATAAGTTGAAAGTACAAATAGGGTGAAAACGTGCCCTACTATTAGTTAAACATTTCGTTTTCCTAGCGTTTATGGTTTTTGAGAAAAAAGAATTAAACCAAAATTTTCCGCCATTTTTGGAGGGGTGTAGCTCCCTAGGGGAGCCCAAGTCGCCCATAGTTCATATATCAAAGTACCCTTAAAATTGCCTAAAGAATCACCCCCTGATGTTTGGGACGTCATTCAGATACATCCTGTATACAGGTGTCTCACGTAACTGGTTCGTTAGAACTTTTTCAGGTTCCACTATTCGTAGAAATTTGAAATTTTGTTAGCATGGGTTGTTCATTCGGAACTTTCGATCTAAAATATTTTCAAGATGACCGCCACTTCCGGTCTACCGAAAGTAGACCAATAATAAGCATTTTATTGTTTTTGATATTTACAATTTTCCCCTTAATACATTCTAATATATATTATTAATATATAATTTTCACCCTCTACCCTCTTCCTCCATTTTCATACCCTCGGCTCCTCGGCCCAATCATCCCCTCATCCATCCCTTTGTCTCCGCACCCCTACAACCACGATTCTCATCCATCGTTTCCCCTCTCCTCCCTCTCCTAAGATCTGCCCTCGGTCCAACTCCTCCTCCCTCAACTCACTGCACCCATTCAACATATGTTCCAACGTTTCCCATTCCTCCCTGCATAGTCTACACCACCTCTCCTCAT